TGTTAGGTTTTGCTGCTAACATTTGACATCGCCGCTAATCAATTTGGATTCCATATCTTTTTCGAGGTACTCCACTTCTCATGCGGAGACAGTGGCCTATTGTTAACTTGTGTCTTCAAACAATTATTGTTTAGCTAAATTGTTTTGAAAACCTCAGCTCTTTCTTTTGTACGTAAGATACAAGGGTGTGCCATACATTGTACTCTCTTACCTCCATCTCTCTCAGGATTTACATATTTACCCATGATACTAGAATGCTCTCTGCTCTGTCTACCTTCATCATTTCTCTAGCATGATGTTAGGTTTTGCTGCTAACATTTGACATCGCCTTGTAAACAGGTTACGGCCCATCTTGGATGAGATCATTTCTGAGACCCAGAGGGCTTTCATTCCGGGTAGACTGATAACAGATAACGCCATCATTGCGTTCGAGTGTTTCCACAAGATCCAACACTGTCGGAGTGAGAGAGACAATTACTGTGCATATAAACTTGATCTTGCAAAGGCGTACGACAGAGTTGACTGGAGTTTTATGGAAGGTGTTCTACGGAAATCAGGTTTTTGCAAAATATGGACTGACTGGGTGATGCAATGTGTTTGATCTGTTAGATATTCGGTGAGATGCAATGGTGAGCTCCTAGAACCATTCTGCCCATCTAGGGGCCTGAGGCAAGGGGATCCACTAAGTCCATACCTTTTTCTTTTTGTGGCTGATGGCTTGGTGCATTTGCTAAAAAAGGAAATGGCAGAGAACAAGATTACGCCCATTAAGGTTGCAAGAAATAGCCCGGGGATTTCAAATCTCCTGTTTGCTGACGACAGTTTAATTTTCTTTAAGGCCAGCCCGGAGCAAGCGGAAGCTATCAAGAGAGTTCTTGCCTCTTTCCAAAAGTGTACAGGGCAGCTTCTAAGTGCTAGCAAGTGCTCGATTCTATTTAGTGAAGCATGCCCGGCCCAAACAAGAGAGGACATAAAAACCATTCTCAGAGTGCAATCAGAAACTTTTGAAAGTAAGTACCTGGGTCTGCCCACCCCGGAAGGAAGAATGAAGGAAGAACAATTCCAACCGATCATGGATAGATTTCGGAAAAGATGCAGTGATTGGAGCGAGAAATTTATGTCTTATGCAGCCAAGGAGGTTCATGTTAAGTCGGTTGTCCAGGCCCTTCCAACATTCACCATGAGTGTTTTTATGCTCTCAAAAGGCTTCTGTGAAAAATATGAAAGAATGATCAGAAAGTTTTGGTGGGGAGAGGATGAGGGACACAGGAAGGTCCACTGGATGTCATGGGAATGGATGACAAAGCCTAAAAGAGCGAGAGGCATCGGATTCAGAGATATGCACCTGTTTAATCAAGCACTGCTGGCCAAACAGGGTTGGCGACTAATTCAAAACCCAGATAGCCTATGTGCAAGAGTTCTTAAAAGCAAATACTACCCGCAAGGGAATCTCCTGGACACGGTCTTTGCGAAGGATGTGTCTCCTGTTTGGAGAGCAATACAGTTTGGGCTTGAGCTGCTCAAAAAGGGTGTAATCTGGAGGGTGGGGAATGGAAAGAACATCCAAATCCAACGGGATCAATGGATCCCAAGGAGGGAGGGCCTCATGACAGCAACTTCATTAGGAGGTCTCGGATCCGATGGGTTAACCAACTAATGCACTCTGACAGGAAGGAATGGAACGAGGAGCTAGTTAGACAAATCTTCTACCCTTTCGATGCAGATGAGATTTGTAAAATCCGAATTCCGTCCTCGCATGTGGAAGATCGGATTGCTTGGTACTATGAGAAAAGTGGTGAATTTTCAGTAAGAAGTGCCTATAAACTTGCAGCGGCAAGCCTTCCCCAACTAGCTCAAAACCCCTCAAGCTCGTCTTCAGACCCGAACGATCGTAGCATATGGGATCTCATTTGGAAAGCAAAAGTGCCGGGTAAAGTACGTATATTCGGGTGGAGGGTGGCTACAAATACCCTTGCTACTAAGGAAAACAAGTGGAAAAGAACACTTGAACTAGACGCTACCTGCAACATTTGTGGAAATGGGACTGAAACTGAACATCATGCGGTGGTCATGTGCACAAAAAGCAGAGCATTGAGGGAAGCCATGAGGAAGGTATGGAACCTGCCTAATGAAAACAGATTTTGGTACACAGGTGAGAACTGGCTACGAACTGTGCTACATACAGAAAATGAGGAAATGCGCGCCAAAATCCTGCTGTTGTTCTGGAGGTGCTGGCATATGAGAGAAGACTGTATCCGAAATAATGGCAGGGAATCAATCTGTGGCTCAGTACAGTTCCTGAAGCAGTATGAGGAGGAGTTGAAAAATGCAGAGATGAAAGATGTTTGGTCGGGTGGAAAAGATGCAGCATCAGTTCATGGTACTAGCGCCTGGGTTGATGCACTCCCTGGAAGTGCTGCTGCAGGCGCCGATGGTAAATGGATCCCGCCAATTAGAGGGGTGGTAAAAGTGAACACCGACGCTGCCTTTCGATCCGATATCGGGGAAAGCGCTGCTGGAGCTGTTGGCCGAGACTACCGAGGCTCTGTCCTCATGTCTATCTGCAAGCGGCTGCCTCAATGCCACACTGCGGAAGAGGCTGAAGCCCGAGCCATTCTGGTCAGCTTGCAGGCCATATCCGGTCTATTTAATGGTCAAGTGATCCTAGAAACAGATAATCAATGATTAACCAAAGAACTGATGGCTCAAAATCCCACACGATCTCCTCAGTATGGCCTAATCATGGACATAAAACGGGCTATAGCGTCGTTCTCTGGCTGCAGCATTCAGTATGCACAAAGAAACAGGAACTTCTTTGTCCATGGCCTGGCTGCTTTGACCAGGAGTTCAGGAGAGCAAGTGCTGATCGCCGACGTTCCGACTAGCCTTCGTTCCATCATGCTCTCTAAATGTATTGCCCCATTTGAGTAGGCTGCCTACTCAGTCTAAAAAAAACATTTGACATCGCCGCTAATCAATTTGGATTCCATATCTTTTTCGAGGTACTCCACTTCTCATGCGGAGACAGTGGCCTATTGTTAACTTATGTCTTCAAACAATTATTGTTTAGCAAGGACATGTTAACTAGTGTTTTTTTGGATAAAGAGAGTTTTTAAGAAATTGTGGAGAGCTTTCTAGCTTGCAGTGCCTGGCCTGTTCATACTAACAGTCACGATATATGTTATGATTGTAGATCGATCACAGTTTCTTCAGTCTCATCTATTGACTATATTTATTCTGCAGCAAACAAAACCTTGTTGTATCCATCACTTTGTTGTATCCATCACTTTGCCATGAGCATTCAGCTCTGTTCTTACACATTGGAAAAACGTGTGTTGTATTGCAAAAACTGGAGTTCTCTTCTGGTGCTTGTGCTCTCAATCACCTCACTTATGTGTCTGGTTTGTGAGAGGTGAGAGGGGATGCAAAGCTGCAGGCTTTCCACATTCTACTTGTCAAACTCGCCTTCGATGAGTTCTGAGAAAAAACTATATACTTTTGTTATGTATACGAAACCTTGCCACCAATGTTCAGCTTCGGTACCTCAATGTGGTTAGGGGCGTACAAATCAAAGTCGCAATGTAATGTTGTTCGGCTCATACGAGCAAAGGGGAATGACAAAGGTACTTGGTTTTTAATTCGCCGTTTCAAGAAAATGTTTGTGCAAAAACACAAAGAACCAAATGATTAGAGAGAACTGTATGAGGGCTGCTAGGGCAACTCTAGCAGATTTTGAAGCATATAGGCTTAGGTTCTAGCGACACAACGCAGATTAAGCAATGAGAATCACAATTAAAATATTGTTATTTACATTGCACAATATTCCTGCCATCCTCGAGAATGTTCAATCACCATAAGTAATACAACCGACTTGTCCTTGTCACAATTAAAATTGCGCCACTTGCTGCACTCTTTCACCTTTTATTGTTATTTACATTACGTTGCAACTCCACCATCACAAACAACTACAATGTTACAAATTTTAGTACTTACAGCGAATCATTGCAATTTTTGCACTTACCAATTCCTTCTGCTCCTTGTGCGATCAATGATTTACCTATAAAAAATATCTACAATTGACATCCTAGACTTGTGGGATGTTAGACTCTTTTCTTGGGTCATTGACGGGGATTGTAACACTTTTGGTAAGTTCAGATGAAATCATTATCTTGAAAACATTTATGCCAAGATTTGGGAATGGCTAAATGGTGAAATTTGTAAGAGATTTTATTCGCTCCATAAAATTTGTATTAATAGAAATTATATATATATATATATAATTCCGGACTTATGAGGGAGAGGGCATGGCCCAACCTTTTATGAGGGAAAAAAGTTACTAGTAATAGTTTTATCAAAGAGCTAGTAACTTTTATGCAAAGCTTCCCACTCATGTTAGTCAAATACTCCCTCCGTCTCAAAATAACTGTCTCAAGCTTAGTACAACTTTGTACTAGAGCTAGTACAAAGTTGAGACACTTATAATGGGACAGAGGGAGTACTTGATAGTTCTTTCTGAGGATGTTTTAATAATAAAACTATTGAGGAAGCTGGGATCTTCTTAATCTTATTACTTCCAACAACTAAGGGTGAGAAATGGATAAAGGTAACATAGTAGGTAAAACTATTGAGTACGAATGCATTAAGACTTTCACTGGAACTCGCGAATTTAGTGATATGAGTACTAATATGGTTTTGATTCCGAAGCACTTGTTAGTCTTTGTACGTTTTTTGCATCCATATTAACATTCTTAAGTCTAGCTGGGAGAAATATCATGAACCTTCCTAAGTTTTACAACGAAGGTAACAAATCTTCCTTCTCCTAGGAAAAGAACACAATTATATATGTGTTTGCTTTTACTTCTCTCATCATAATCAAGTTGTAGATGTTTGATCCTTAAAAACACATGGCAATGCGAGATGATAATTTATTATTGGACAAACAATTGAGCTAACATAATTCCAAGAACACAATTATTGTTAACAAAGTTTCCTCCTCCCGCTTAGTTCACCTTCATGAAGGAGAGAAGTTGGCGTTTCTTGGTCAACTCCTGCTCATGCAACTCTGCCTTGTATTTTCCATCTTTCCCCTCAAAGTGTGTCACATCAATGATGAGCTCATAGTTCATGCCAGACATGAGTTGTTGTCTGCCACTCACCACCTTGTTGAACTTGACCAGGCAGTTCACACGCTTGCTGAATTCCAACACCGCCCAATTGCCAAGCTCCTGGATGTGTTTGTCATTTATGTTCTTGATTGGTTCCCATCCATTAGCTCCTGTCGTGTTCCACAATCGGGTTCCCATTGATTCACCACAGCCCGTGGCTGGTACACCGATGGCATACACGATCACAACAACAACAATGAGTAGGAAACTGGTTGTCCTCATGGTGTATAAACTTTGCGATGATGAAAATTTTGGTTTGCTAGTGAGGTTTTGGAGCTTGATATAACGAGTTAGTTTATGTGGGGCTCTGGTGAACTGGCAATGTGAGTGGTTCCACAACAATCGAGATGGGGGTGGTTAAACAGACATCACTACAAGAGGCAAACATTACTTGGATGCATATCCAAACATGAATTTAAAATGACATTTATTACAACATTTTACTACGTTTATCCAAACATTAATTAGATGCATATCCGATACTTAATTTAAAACAACATTTTACTGCGTACATTAGTTGGACACATACCGAAATATAGGCATTTTGAATGAGATTGACCGCAAGATTTTATTGGGTGTGACGGTTAGACAAATATTCAACAATTAGTCTAATGTTGTATCTATTACTACTTTTATTTCAGTATTAATTGATATACACCCAAAAAGGCATCTAGAAGGAGACTACTCAGATCAAAAATTTAATTGGAATGGATAGTATTATCCTGGAATGTTGGAATATTTGGGTCAAAGAAATGGGAAAAATCTTAAAAAGTGTAGGCTAATATGCTCTACCGCTAGAGAAGGTGGTAGTAGCCACTTGTCAGGTAAGAGTTGTCAGTGAACCTGGACTAGGTGCTATACTACTGTTGACTATCGAGGTAGCTAGTATATACTCCGCCGCCATAATGTGTGGCAGTAATCAAAAGGGTCGGATAGTAAAAAAAATCAAAACCACTTATTTAACCTCTAATGATTTATGACATCCTTGTATCGATGTTTGAGTAGTAACTTGTTCTATGACGTGAGTTAAATAGTATTACACTTCTATTCAAATATTAGTCATGTTGCATCAATTATTACCTTTCTATTCAAATATTAGTCATGATTCAAAATACACCCAAAAAGGCATCCGGAAATATACTAATTAGATACAAAAAATGGATAGTATTACCTGGGATGTTGGAATATCCAAAGAAATAAAAACATATTGAAAAATGAAGCCCCAACAATCACTGCTTGGAAATTCCTACATTAGGACCTTACTTTGCTAGGTCATCGCCTCAAGAGAAAATATACTGAGAGCTTGCATAGGTGGATTGATTACCATCTTTGATGATGGTGTCTAGAATTGACTTTCACCTTTTTTTATCATGATGATCCCTAGAACTGCCATTGGGTGATTTTGTTGTACTTTGTATCTTTCATCCTCTTCCTTATTATGTATATATGATTTTTTTTAATTTATAAAGGAAGGTCATGGAACAGTTGTTCTACGATTCATGGCTTAAAATAACAGACTAACAGGTCACCTTGTTCATGCTGTAGCAAATTCAAGGGCCATATAATTTGGCAGCGAGTTGTACCTAGTTAAATTCAAGTATTAGAAATGATATACTTATAGTAGAAGTAGTAACAGGCAAATTATGTCTTGAAGACCTTATACCATGTAATCGACAACATGACTTTATTTCTCTTGTACATAACACAATACTCAACTATACAACACACATATGTAACAGTATTCTGGCAATTCAAATGTATGACCAACAAATATTTCCTGACATCATGCTAAATCTCCAAGGCTTTTGAACATTTCAGCTCATATCCAAAAGGAAATAATGGATCATAGTCAGCACCTGCACTATTTATAGGTAGTTGATCATCATATCTAAACCAAGTTACAGGCAACGTGCCCACAAAATCATGGTCTCCAAAGAGGTAATCAGCAACTCCCATGCCCTCACTTCCAGGCAGCCAAGCAGCAACTAGAGCATCTACCTTCTAAACAACTCGCGGCTCAATAACCAAGGGCCTTCCAGAAATAACAATCACTAGGGTAGGGACTTTACTAGCAACACGAGTAATAAGATCAGAACCATTTAATGGAATACTAAGGTCGGTTCTATCACCCCCCAAGCTTTCTGCATAGGGAACCTCACCACTACAACAACTACATAAGAAATTTTGCCCGTTTCAATGGTAGCATCTATTGGGCATCCTTCATACATAACTTTGGTTTCCACTTCCATATATAGATTCTTGTATGGCCTGTAATATGCTTGTACCTATTGGTTTTGATAGCTTGATTAACTCCTACATCATAGTGCGGACTAAACTAGAACGTATTTTTAATAAATAAAATGAAACAATTCTGAAACAACCCCTGCACAGTATGTTCCAACGCAAACAACTTATGCTTCAATTTCTAAACAACAATTTCACATCTGTGTATGCAACATGGTACTTGAAAATGGGTCATAATTTATCCTTAACTACTAATCATCCAACCTAGAATTTCCAAAGAGAATGATTTTTATAATAGGAAACAAATGATTGTAAGTGTCACTCAAATTAAATGTGAGGTCGTGTGTAATATATTCTCCTGGAGTTAAAATTATTTGCTTACCAGGAGTAATATTTCCACTATCACCATGCCAAGCTATTGTCCACTGATGACCCACAAGCATAGGGGATCAATCGTAGTCCTTTCGATAAGTAAGAGTGTCGTCGAACCCAATGAGGAGCAGAAGGAAATGACAAGCAGTTTTCAGCAAGGTAATGTCTACAAGCACTAAAATTGTTGGTAATAAGTAGTTTGGTAGCAAGATAATTTGTAACAAGAAAGTAATGGTAATGGTAAATGAAATGCAGCAAGATAGCCCAATCCTTTTAAGGCAAATGATAGGGCAAGACGGTCTCTAATAATAAGCAAAGCGTTCTCGAGGGCGCCTGGGAATTTCACCATATCACTTTCATCATGTTGGCTGGATTCATGTTCGCTACTTCGATAATTTGGTATGTGGGTGGATCGGTGCCTAGGTGTTGTTCTTACTTGAACAAACCTCCTCTTATAATTAACCCCCTTGCAAGCATCCGCAACTACGAGAAAAATATTAAGATAAAATCTAACCATAGCATTAAACTTTTGGATCCAAATCGGCCCCTTACGAAGTAGCGCATAAACTAGGGTTTAAGATTTTGTCACTCTAGCAACTCATCATCTAATAACTACTCTGATACATCTCCATCGTATCTACTTTTCCTAACGCTTTTCCCCTTGTTTTGGACTCTAATTTGCATGATTTTAATGAAACTAACCTGGACAAACGCTGTTTTCAGCAGAACTACCATGGTGTTGTTTTTGTGCAGAAATTAAAGTTCTCGGAATGGAATGAAACTTTGTGAGGATTTTTTATACAATAAAAGATAATTTCTGGAGCCAAGAACCACCGAAGGGGGGGCACCTGGGTGGGCACAACTCACCAGGGCACGCCACCCTCTCCACAAGCACCCAGGTGGGTTGTCCCCACCTGGTGGCCCTGCAGACCCTGAAACCGACGCTATAAAATTCTATTTTTCCAAAAAAAGGGGAGAATGAATTATCGCATTTCACAAGACGGAGGCGCCACCGTCTCTTGTTCTTCATCGGGAGGCCTGATCCGGAGTCCGTTTTGGGCTCCAAAGAGGGGGATCTTCGATCTTCGTCATCACCAACCCTTCTCCATCGCCAATTCCATGATGCTCCCCATCGGGAGTGAGTAATCCCTTCGTAGGCTCGCTGGTTAGTGAGGAGTTGGATGAGATTCATCATGTAATCGAGTTAGTTTTGTTAGGGCTTGATCCCTAGTATCCATTATGTTCTAAGATTGATGTTTCTATGACTTTGCCATGCTTAATGCTTGTCACTTTGGGCCCAGGTGCCATGATTTCAGATCGGAACTGTCTATGTTATCACCATTATATATATGTTCTAGATCCGATCTTGCAAGTTATAGTCACCTACTACATGTTATGATCTGGCAACCCCGGAATGACAATAGTCGGGACCACTTCTGGTGATGACCGTAGTTTGAGGAGTTCATATATTCATTATATGCTAATGCTTCGTTCCGGTTCTCTATTAAAAGGAGGCATTAATATCCCTTAATTTCCAATAGGAACCCGCTTCCACAGGAGGGTAGGACAAAAGATGGCATGCAAGTTCTTTCCATAAGCACACATGACTATTTACGGAATACATGCCTACATTATATTTATGAACTAGAGCTAGTGCCGTATTGCCCTAGATTATGATTGTCTCATGATGAATATCATCCAACGAATCGCCGATCCAATGCCTACGATTTTCCTACATATTGTTGCTGCTAAGTTACTACTGCTATTGTTACTATTGCGCTTGCTACAAAACTACTGCTATCACTGTTACTGTTACTATTGCTGTTGCTACTACTATCAAAACTGTCATACTAATTTGGTACTGATCACTTTGCTGCAGATAATTAATCTCCAGGTGTGGTTGAATTGACAACTCAGCTGCTAATACTTGCAAATATTCTTTCGCTTCCCTTGTGTCGAATCTATAAATTTGGGTTGAATACTCTACCCTAAAAAACTGTTGCGATCCCATATACTTGTGGGTTATCATACTCCACAATACATTCCCTTAGGCCCTAATAAGGTGAAGTGTCATGTAGTCGATGTTCACATGACACCACTAAGGGAATCACAACATGCATATCATCAAAATATCGCACACATATCAAGTTCACATGATTACTTGCAACATGACTTCTCCCGTGACTTTAAGAACAAAAGTAACTACTCACAAATGATAATCATGTTCA